AAAATTAGTATTTTCATATGGAATTAATTCTTATAAATTGTGTTGACTGTATTGAATTAATTATGACTAGATTCGAGGCGTACGGAGGCCGATTCACGAGGCAAAGGCATATTGGAATAAAGCATTACACGGTTTGAGGTAAATAATACTTCTAAACTTAGTTCTGAGGGTATAAATCCCCGAATTACATATTATGTGAATTGTATGGAGGTGACGCACATGCTAGGTGACGGGCGTGTGGGTGTGCACCATAGAAATTGTGACTTAATTGATTCCGTGGAGTTGCATAATCAAATAATCATGTCATTATCCACATATTCTCCAAGTGTTAGAGGAAATTGAGTTGAGATTCATGTTAAAGATCATGTTTAGGCTACGTGCCGATATTTTGGGATCCACATAGGTCTTATTGCTATTGAATTACTTGTTTGAATTGTAATTTTGTAGTCAGTCACATCTATCATTTGCATATCATATCTTAGTCTCTGTTGTCATTCATTGATACATCATATCATTATGTCGAGTTGATTTTCATGTCATTGAGAGCCCGAGAGACTGGAGATTTTGAGTGATATTTATGGGATCGGGCTGTACGCCGCAACATATTTTATTTATTTATGCCTGGATATGGCTATTATAGCGCTTGGGCTGAAGGAGCCTCTCCGGAGTCTGCACTCCCCACAGTGAGCGCGATTGATTTTATATTGAGGGATGGGTCTTCCCTAGACATGGATCTTGTCCGAATCATTTATATTTGAGGATGGATCTTCCCCTGGGCATGGATCTTGCCCGAATCATTTATATTAAGGGATGGATCTTCCCTAGACATGGATCTTGTCCGAACCATTTATATTTGGTGATGGATCTTCCCCTGGGCATGGATCTTGCACGAATCATTTATATTGAGGGATGGATCTTCCTTGGACATGGATCTTGTCCGAATCATTTATATTTGGGGATGGATCTTCCCCTAGGCTGGATTGGCCTTATACAATACTTAGTGATTGAGTATTTTGAGATTTTGAATACACGAGGTTTCCACTGAGGTGCATCACATACAACATGTATATTGGCGTGTAGATATAGAGATGTCATATTTCTCATATCATTCAGAATCGATCTATTTTACTTGTACTGAGTTTAACTGTTGAACTTGAAAGCATGCTTACATTTTTGTACTGTTATTCTTTTTATACTAGACTGTACCTATTGAGCTCGTCACTACTTTCAGCCCAAAGGTTAGTCTTGTTACTTATTGAGTACATGAGGTCGGTTGTACTCATACTACACTTCTGCACCTTGCTTGCAGATTTTTTGATGCTGATGTGGTTGTGTACAGCGAGAGATGGATTTGAAGATGTACCTGTGTTCCAGTCATTGTTGCCTCTTGTTCATGGTAGCTTTAGAATTTTTAATCTGTTCATGTATACTTCAGACATATGACATATATTTGTTTTTTCACACACGCTTTGTAAATTGTAATCTTAGAAGCTCATGATTTGTACTACCAGTCCTTGGAGAGTGTATTAGAGTCACTTGAATATCTTTAAAAATTGGGTTGTTGTTATTTGGCTTACCTAGCAGGTGAGGTTAGGTGCCATCATGGCTAGTTGGATTTTAGGTCGTGACAGCAGGCCTCTGAGTCACCTTCTGAAATTTTACTTTGTACTGTTTATTCCTGTAACGACCCAACCGGTAGTTTACGGGCATGAGTAGCTCCGTATGATGCCTTATGACTTATATGAATCTTCGATTTTGATCTTCAGGTTATTCAAAATCGAATTGGAAGAATGAATATCAATATTGAAGCTTTAATTTGGAGAATTGACCAAGTTCGACTTTTTAGCATTTGACCTCGGATTGGAATTTTGATGGTCCTGTTAGCTCCGTTGGGTGATTTTGGACTTAGAAGCGCATCCGGATTTTTATTTGGAGGTCCGTGGTTGAATTTGGCTCGAAATGGCAAAAATTGAAATTTTGGAAAGTTTGACCGGGAGTGGACTTTTTGATATCGGGGTCGGATTCCGATTCCAAAAGTTGGAGCAGGTCCGTAATGTCGAATGTGACTTGTGTGCAAAATGTGAGGTCAATCGTACGTGATTTGATAGGTTTCGGCATCAGTTGTGGAAGTTTGATGTTTCAAAGTTCATTGATTTCGAGTTGAGGTGTGATTCATCGTTTCGATGCTGTTACGTGTGTTTTGAGGCCTCGAGTAGGTCCGTGTTATGTTATGGGACTTGTTGGTGCTCGGGCATGTTTCAGATTGATTTTGGATCATTTTCCTTCATGTTTTCACTACTGTGTTCTGCTGGTTTCTGGTGTCTCAGTCCTTCATCGCATTTACGTGGCATGTATCGCGAACACGTAGCGTATTTTGATGGCAGTGGCATTTCTTCATTGCGTTCGCAAATATTGGTACGCGTTCGCGTAGAATTGGGGCAAGTCTTCATCGTATTCGCGTGTGGGGGATCGCGTTCGCGTGGTGTTGAGGTTTGGCAGCTGGGAGTTGGAGAATTCTTCAACGCGATCGCAAAAGGTGAGTCGCGTTCGCGAAGCTTTGCTTCAGTGGTCATCGCGTTCGCGTGGGGTGTTTCGCGAATGCGTAGTGCTTTAGGTGGCAGTGTTCTTTTGTTCATCGCGAACGCGATGGACTTCCCGCGTTCGCGTAAGAGGATGCCTGGGCATAAGTATAAAGTACTCTTTTTCGAGGGTTTCAGCCATTTTTACATTTTGGGAGCTATGGAGCTCGGATTGAGGCAATTCTTGGATAAATTTTCATCACAAGGGTTGGGGTAAGTGTTCTCTCCTCGGTTTTGGTTATATTTCTTGAATCTACCTTTGTTTTTGGTAATTGGATTGTGAATTTTAAAGAGGAAATTGGGGGTTTTGGCCTAAAGTTTCATAATGTGAATGTTTGAGTTTTGAACATTGAATTGGAGTCAGATTTGAGTGAAACTAGTATGGTTGGACTCGTAATTGAATGGGTTGTTGGATTTTGTAAATTTTGTCGGCTTCTAAGGTGCGAGCCCGGGTTGGGCTTTTGGCCGATTTTGGGTTTTGGATTCAAGGTTTGATCTTTTTCGATCAGGATTGGTTCCTTTAGCATTGTTTGATGTACTTGAGTTTTTTTGGTTAGTTTCGAGCCGTTCGAAGGTTGGAACGCGCGGGATGACATATTTGACGCATCACTTGGCTTGCTCGGCATTGGCATTGGCTTGTTCGAGGTAAGTAACTTTTATAATTATGGAGCTGAGGGTATGAACCCTGAATATACATGTTATGTGTTTGATTTTGAGGTGACGCACATGCTAGGTGACGGGCGTGCATTGTGTGAACTGTGATTTCCGTTATTTCTGTGGTACTGTGTAGTTACCTGAACTTGTTTGAAATCATGAAATCTCTACGTACTAGAGTTATTGAGTTGTGATTATGTTAGAAACCATGTCTAGGCTACATGCTTATCTTGTTGGGACCCACTGAGGTAATTTCTATTGTTGAGTAATCTACTTTCATTGCATTACATACTCAGTCATACGCATTCACATGTATATCATATCTCAGTCTCTGTTGTTATTTATTGATGCATCATATCATTGTTTTTGGGCTAGTATCATGACATTGTGAGCCCGAGAGACTGGAGAGATTGATGACTGAGTGAGGCCGAGGGCCTGGTTGTGAGGATGATTTTAGGATCGGGCTGCACGCCGCAGCGGGTCAGATTGGATTACTATAACACGTGAGTTGTCCGTGCGATTCTAGATATTGATATTGTGGCACGTGAGTTGTCCGTGCGGATTATAGCGCTTGGGCTGTAGGAGCCCCTCCGGGATCTGCACACCCCCAGTGTGCGCAGGTACCTACTGAGTGCGAGTGCCTAGTGCTGAGTGACTGGGAGGACGAAGTGAATTGATACTCTTAGAGTATGCATATGATCTTTATCACTGATTTGCATCGCATTTGGCATGCACACTTGACATATAGGCATAGAGCTGTATTTTTCCTCATGCTGTATAGTATCACGTCATTTATGACTTCTCATACATTTTTTACATATGGGCATAGAGAGGCATCTTACACTTACTATCTGAAAGGAAAATGGAACATCTTATTTATTGTTGAAAGGATATTTGGGAAAAATCACATTTTTTTAACTTACTCGTATTTTAGCTTTTTTCGGTAAAAGATTTGGGTTTTCACTGAGATACTTGAAAAGAAATGCCTATTTTTCTGGAACTGTGAACGAACTGAGCCTTTTATTTCTGAGATACTCGTTTATCACTTGTACTATGCTGTTATGAACTGTTGTGGAATATTGGTGTTGGACCCGACCCCTTTTTGTTAGCTCGTCACTACTTTCACCCTAAGGTTAGGTTTGTTACTTATTGAGTACATGGGGTTGGTTGTACTCATACTACACTTATGCACCTTGCGTGCAGATGTTGGCTGCTGATCTTGCTGTGTTTGATGGGAGTTGGATTTGAAAATGTACTTGCGTCCCGGTTGAAGCTGCCTCTTATTCGTGGTAGCCTTAGATCTATAAAAATTCTGTTTATGTACTTTTTCAAACAGACGATGTATTTATTTCATTTCAACTTTGTAAACTCTATTCTTAGAAACTCTATTCTTAGATTCAGATAATTTCTTTACTTAATTACTTTATTAATTATTATTAGAATTGGTTAGTGATTAACTGGCTTACCTAGCGGGTTGGGTTAGGTTCCATCACGACTAGTTGGATTTTGGGTCGTGACAATTCCTATTCCGAAATAATTGTATTTAGAGATTTTCTAGTAAATCCGTTAGAGCTTATAACTTATATTACCGGTTTTGGGATTGTTGGCTTGTATTGATAAGTTTATGTTTCATATTTAATAGTTGTTGCTTGAGTTTGCCTTTAATTCAGTAAGTATTAGGCTTACCTAGTCTCTAAGACTAGGTGCCATCACGATATTTTACGGAGGGATATTGGGGTCATGACAGAATTAAAATCAGAACATCAACTAATTCCTACGTGGGGCATTTCTACAAGTACGCTTATTATGTCCACCCTGCCCACATATACTACATGAATGTTGACTCTTCTTCTGAAGCAATTCACTTAATGACTTATCACGCTTCTTCTTTGGCCTTCCAGGAGGTCTCTTCCATATGGGTGGTAAGATAACTTTCTCTGATATATGTGCTGGTATATTCCATTCAGTTCGATCAGGGAGAGGATACACGGGCACCTCGTATGTTATTACAACAGACTTTGATTTGTAATAGTCCGAGCAATAATCATCCGGTATTAGAAACTTGCTTTTTAAGACAGCCCAAACATGTGGGCATGGTAACACATCAACTTGGAACCTTCCACAACTACAATTTTTCTTTTGGAGGCAAATGGTATAATGCCTTCTTTCATCATTCACCATGTGCAAGTATTCAATCGATGGTACAACCTACATTAAACGAAGAAATATTAGTTTTGGACATTTGTACAAAACATGTATCTGTCATGAATACATGGAGTACATACAATATACATGAATACATGATATAAACATTTGAAATACATTGAATACAAATACTGAAGTAAATAGAATATAAACAGTGAATACATTTATTTTTTGAAATACAATGAAATATAGTAAAATACTCCGAATACAAATAGAAGTACAATAAATACAACCAATGAAATATACTAAATACAGTAGTAATAACATGTATAAATACTATTAATACAAATACATTTGAATATACTGAATTCAAAATAGTGAATACATTATAATTGAAACATTGAATATAATGAATGCGACCGTGAAAACCAAATATTGAAACACACTGAATACAACAATTAAATACAACTGAATACAAGCAGTAGGTTTATTAAGATATATGCAGGTAGTAGGTTAATATTACAAGTTGTATATGACATAAGTACATGGTGTATTCATATATCTTAATTTTGTGAATGCAAGTAATTATAGCAAACTATAAAAAAACTTGCAGTCATACGTGTAGACATTACCTCATTCAATGTAAGAATCTCTTGATATCTTTTCCCAAGCATTGTGTGTGTGTGAGGCTTCTTTTCGATTGATTCAATTCCAACTTTCAAACATCTTCCTAACTTCTTCTAGGAAGTCATATATTGGCAATTCTCTTGCTTATACAAGTGCCGAATTGATTGACTCAGTAATATTTGATGTTATAGACCATCCTTGATTAACAGGTGCATACAACCTAGCCCACTTATCGTATCCAACTAATTCCAAGTAATCTTTCACCCGAATATCTACCTTTTCCATTAGACTATCAAATTCATCTTGGGTGTATGCTTTTGCCATTGAAAAGTATACCTCGCTTAACTTCTCATGACTCTTTTTTAACTTCTTGTATACGTTGTTGTATAGATGCCATATACAAGCAAAAAGGGGTACGGTAGGATACACTCTGGATATAGATTTGATGATGCTTTCATTCCTATCTGAAATAATGCACAGCTTTTCCCGTTCGCCATAAGCTACCTTAAATTGCTCAAAGAACCACAACCAAGAGGCATCATTCTCTGAATCAACTACGCCATATGCTATTGGAATATGTCATATAAATACAATTGCATACAGACAAAAAATATCATTACAGATGTATTAAATAATAAAATTAGCATTTTCTGTGTTAATCTAACTTGTATATATATTTTTTAATTGACTAACCTACACCATCCAACGTGCTAGCCGAATCGAATGTCCCTGTGTATGCTGATTTTAGGTGGCTGCCATCCACAACGATGATGGGTCGGTAGTAATCAAATCCCTTTATAAAAGCATCCAACGATATATTCAAATACATGAACTCATTTTTAGAAGATTTTTCCATTCTAATATGAGAACCAGGATAAGTTATATCCAGTGTATATAAGTACCCTGGTAATTTATTGTATGAATCAGCTGGTTCACCCCTCAGGAAATACACTGTCTTTTCTATAGCGCGCCACGCCAACATGTAACTAACACCGACACCGAAGCCCGACTTCACATAATCAATTATATCCTTTGGCATGTATTTCCTCTTATGATTAGTAAACTTGGACCTAATCATTCCCCCAGTCAACCTACTGGTTGCTTGACGTTTCTCATATGTCACACCCCGAACTTAGGAGCGAGACAAGCACCCGGTGCCTCACCTAACCTGGCGTACCAAATTACGACTAAGGGAC